CTGCCACAACACTTGGCTGTCTGCCACAACTAAGGAGGGAGATAAGCAACCCCTTGGCTAGGAGCCCAGAAAATTATCTCTATGAAAACAAGGCTTGAACTCACGGAATTCTCCCAATCTTTCTCTATGCCTGGATTAGTAAACCGTTGTTTCCTGCAAAATTCCCCTCCCGTCGGCCCACCTATAAGCTCTCTGGGAGGGGCCAATTAGTAGCCACCTGTTCCTGTTTCCTTCTGTAAGCCTTTTTCCAAAGCTGCTCCCTCCTCCTCGCAGCCCTACGCATAGGTACGTCAGGGACAGTCTCCCTCTGTTCTTCCTCACTGCTCCCTGACCCAGACGCCACCTGGTGCCAACAGGCCTCCCTAGTCCCTGCTCTGACTCCCAACACCCCCCCAGAATCTTCCTCAGCCTCCAGGGCAGTCCCATAGTGCTCATCCCTGTTGATTCCACCAACAGCTCAGCCGGCTGCTGTTAGGCCACAACACTGCCTCGATCATCATGGCATACTATGTAGTTTCCATTGTTTGTATGATTGTTCACGTTATTGTTTTATTGGGATTTTCATTTTTATATACGCACCTTCCATTTGAACGGAAGCCAGATCTGCAATTTAGAAAAATGGCATACAAACAATAAATATGAAATATCCCAAAGTGAAGTTTTGGGATGTATGTATCTTATATTTCTAGAGGCGGAGGGATTTGGGGTTCCAGACCTCTGAACTTTTCACTTTCCAGAGAAGGTAGAAGAGAATGTGGAATTCCACTTGCGGTCCAAAGAACAGATTGAACACAAAACAAAAATGTGGAGAGAGCCAGCAATCGTGTTTTCCCAACTGGAAATCTGATTTCCAACTGCACCTTGTATTAAAAATATTAACTAACATTTTAACGGAGAGATTATTCTCATAGGAACCAGAAACCAGGGGCCGCCCGTGCCTTACAATCTAAAACAGTGTTTCTCAACCTTGACAACTTGAAGTCCACAGGACTTCAAGTTGTCAAGGTTGAGAAACACTGATCTAAAATGTCTGTGTTGAGTTTACAACCATCTGCAAAATTTGGGTGAAGAATGGAATATAATGTGTTCACACAATATTCAAAGCTAAATGCCTTTATGTGTTTAAGGTCAACTTGTTGGTGTGAACACTGCCATTGTGGTTTTATTATGATCGCAGTACAGATTGTCCTTGACTGGTTGCTCGACAGAATAACAGAGTTGGAAGGGAGCTTGGAGGTCCTCTAGTCCAACCCTCCGCTCAAGCAGGACACCCTATACCTTTTCAGACAAATGTCTGTCCAATCTCTTCTTAAAAACCTCCAGTGATGCACCATCCATAAATGAGCCGAGGTGGCGCAGTGGTTAGAATGCAGTACTGCAGCCACTTCAGCTGACTGTTAGCCGCAGTTCGGCGGTTCAAATCTCACCGGCTCAGGGTTGACTCAGCCTTCCATCCTTCCGAGGTGGGNTATGGTCCAACTTTCACAGCCATCCTTTGCAACTGGGAAAACCATAGCCTTTATTATACGCACTTTATTTGGCAGGGTGATGTCTCTGCTTTTTATTATGCTGTCCAGATTTGCCATAGCTTTCCTCCCCAGGAGTAAATGTTTTAATTTCTTGGCTGCAGTCCCCATCTGCAGTGATCTTGGAGCCCAGGAAAATAAAATCTGTCACTACCTCAATTTCTTCCCCATTTGGGAATTGAGAGAGCTGGATGCCATGATCTTCATTTTCTTAATGTTGAGTTTCAAGCCAACTTTTGCCAAGAATAAACAGCCCTTAATTAACCAAGAGCAAAGAAGAATCTACAACAGCTTTGGCGATGAATTTCCAAAGAATATCAAAACAGTAGCCTGTTTTAAACAGGCCAATCAGAAACTAGTTCTCTTGGAATTTCCTCAAATTCAACCAATTGGAAGTTTATCTGAGTGAAGAAGCAATCAGAAATCAGCTTTTTCAGATTCCCGTGACATGACATGGACCCATCAGCTGGATTGGGAAATTTATTCAGAATCCAGATTGTTCAATTATAAATACAATAGTTTAAATACTCCCTGCTCACTTGCTTGTGAATTGCCAAGAAATGTGCTATGGAGCAGATCGCTTTGCATCTGAGAACGCCAACCACAGATGCCAGTGAAACATCAGGATACTAGAAAATTAGACCATGTGATTTAGCTTGAAAACTGATCACCATTTGATTCATCCAGACCATGAAAGCCTACCTCAGAATATTGTTCAAAATCTGTTATTTTTATAATTTATTTTTGTCGAGAATGACTGTAGAAATGTACCTGCAGAAGGTTGCCTATCAGGGGGGGGGGGAACACATCCAAAATCATTACAGAAAGGTGTTTATTTTCATATTTATTTATGGAAATAAATAACAGCAGGAAATACTTTGATAACCCAAATCCTTGCCATTCATTTATGCATTATATTAGTTGCTCCTGTTGTTTTTTCACATGAAAAGAAGGTCTGCTTAGGAAGGACTGTTTTGCAATTGTGCTTCAGATGTAATTATCTGACAGCATTAATTACAATTCAGAAAATAATACATCTTCTTGGGAGTTTAGTAACAGACTTGGCCCAGTCACTGAATCAAACAGAGTGCATGGGCTTTGCAGTAAATATTAGGTTAACCACTTTACCCCCTTGTTATATAGAGTGACAAGAATGAGATTTTGGCATTTATAATGAATTTTAATTTCTTGTTCACGGGTATAAGAGAGCAGACATCAGATAATGCATGAATTGCTCAGAATTGTCATAAATATGAGCTTATATATTCATGTGGACTCAAAAAACCTCAAAGTATCAAAGCAAGATATACTGGAAATATACCAGACATTCCTGAAACCTGTGTACATACTCATACCCGTGAATTCTAAAACAGCT